ATTGCCCTGTTGGGGTCGTTTTAGTGTTGTGTCTTTGTGTTGTTAGGGCATTACCTTGTTAGGGTCGGTTCTAAGCGGTCTTTCGACTTGTCCTCCCAATTTATTCAGTTGGTGGTTGCGTGTTTTCAACTGGTGGTTGTACTTTTTGCACATTTGTGCTTTTATATAAAATATCTATCGTTTCAAAAAAAAGATAAATATAAAATTAATGCCTATAATAAAAGTATTAAATATATTTGTAAAACGAGCTTGCGTAAGAAACTTAATACAAATTATTTACATTTATGCAAAATAAATTTAGCTTAGATGCATAGTTTTATTTACCCGGACCGGCCCGACGGGTCAACCCAGGACCGTTTGATCGGGAGCCGGAACCGGTCCGGGTGGACTATTTGGACCGGGCAACAATAGACTTGGTCAAACCCAATCAAAATCGGCCATACCGACCTTGACTCGGTCGACCCGAGGCATTAACCTGATCGGGCCAACCCGGTTGACCCGGCCCATATATTTTTTTTATTTTTTTTTTGTTTTTAAAAATAAAACTATGTACATATATTTATATGCTAAGTATTAATCACGAGATACACATTATTAACACTTTAATGTACAAATTTTATACACAAAACATTTAATTTTGTTACTTTTATGTATATTTGTATGACAAAATACTCTATGTATAATTTAAAAAATTTTAAAATTAATTATCCGGTTCAGCAATTGACCCGGTGACCCGAAGGTTGACCCGGTGACCCGGAGACCAACCCGGGTCGATTATCGGGCCGAGTTTAAAAACTATGCTTAGATGAAATAATTTTTTTATTAACGTAATTTTACTAAAAAAAGGTTTCTTATTTAAATCGATTTTCTTATTAGAGTAATTTTACTAAAAATATTTCTAGTTATTTAAAAATATTTTTTTTATAAAAAAAAAAAAAAAGAGTTGTGGTTTACATAATTATATCAAAATACAAAGTGATTTGGAGTCTTAAATTGAAAAATAGAATGTAAAAGTAGGCATTATATTGAGAATAACTTATAAATTGAAACCCTCAAATGAAAAAATTGAAATTCAGGTACTATGAGTTATGACACAATAACAAAAAATCAGACACTACAATAAAATTTTCCCCGTAAAATATTATCTTTAGAATCATTCTTCAGAAATTCTATGGTGCCCATATGGGCACCATAGAATTTCTGATCATTCTTAAACTTTTGGAAATGACCTATTTATTTGAAGAGTAAATAATCATTTTTTTTTACTGTAATTATTATTTGCTCTTTGTCCATGATCTTAATTGAATTTTTAGGGAGCAACATTTATTGAGAAGAAGAACAATGCGTCCACGTATCTTTATTGTAATCACAGTTGATCAATGTAAATGATAGCAAAAAACTTTTGTTGATTTTGCGCATATTTAATGGTGAGT